TGGCTAGGTACTTTTGCTTTGATGATGACTTTCTTTATACTTATAACTCGCTTGATATACTGTTAGCTCACGGATACCCAACTTCAAGATGTTCTAAAGATTCTAAAGTAAATTCAACCGGTCTTAAACTTCTATATTTATGTAAAAATAATGATAATATGTCCATATTAAACGGTAGAGTCGGAAATGATAGAAACGTAGGAAATTTTAGAACACATTATGTCATTTGATGTTCCTGAAGTTGACTAATTATTTTCTGAGGGTCATAGCATTATTTCACTTTCGCTTAAAATATCAGAATATCCGACTAAAATAATAAACAAGAGCTGTCGGTATTATAATTAAACAACAATGACTTTTACGAATATTGCTCTACATTGAAACTTACCGTACAATAAATAAAAGTAAAACTAAAATAATTATATTTGGATCGAATAAACCGGGTAATTTAACAACGAACTACTTGAAATAATAACTCAACTCAACTTTATTTAAGTAAATAAAGGCCTCCGGCAACAAATTCGTATCCCCATATCTGTGACCCATAGCATAAAATAGGTTTAACTTAATGAAAAGTTCATTTGTTGGAAAATGACCATATGGTTTCTTATAACTATAAATAGAAAGTATTACACGTTGTGCTTGTGCATATAATTTTCCTGTGCTACACTCCACGATAACCCAGGTGTGTAAATAAAAGTCCCATATATTTGTAAACGGAAGTAACTTTGATAGTATTACCTCGAAAATGTCAATTTTCATATTGTCTGAGCGGTCCCCCATTTCTAAAAACTATAATTTCAGTTTTATTTAAATTTACTTCCATCCCAGTATTTTTACAAAATTCATCGACAACATTTAATTGTTGTTGTAATTTAACTGCCGTTTCAGCGCAACTTGCAACATCATCAGCAAACATGAGGCAAACAATATCGTGAATTTCTCGTGTAATAAAAATCCCAGAGTTACATTTATCGCGAAGCATATGTGCTAAAGTATGTTATGATATAATGCTCAATTCTAATACAAGTTTTAAATGGTTACAGTGGATAAAACAAATTTTAAATAATACAGGTAACACATACCAAATGAATATCAATCTTAAAAATTTCAGTATGACAATAAAACGTGCATTAATTGACCAATTCTTGCAAAACTGGAATAGTTCACTTACAGGTTCTTTAAAAGGTCTGACATACTAATCATTCAAATCCAACAATAATTTCTAACAGTACCTCTATGATGATACAGCGTAAAATAAATTTAATTAGATTTTGGATAAGAATAGTAAAATCAGATAATAATACATTAATTAAGATGATATACAATATGCTTTAAGATGATTTTAATAATGGTAGTAACTATAATGGTATTAATTGGGTCGGACTCGTTCAACAAATTTTCGAGTATACCAAAATGCTGATCTCGTATCTTTACAAACTATTAAACAAAGAATAATTAATATATACTCATGGGCTGCTGAAATAAGAACTTCAAATAGATTACAGTTATATAGCTGGTATAGGAAAGAATTAAATGTAGAACGATAGCTAGATGTAATACCAAATAGTAAATTTAGAAAAGCACTGGCAAGATTCCGACTATCATCTCATGATCTAATGATTGAAAAAAGAAGACAATTAAATATTTACAGAAATGAAAGAATATGTTCAAATTGTAATATAAATGTTACCACTTTCTTTTAGTATGCCCAAAATATACTAACTGAAGAAAAACCTACTTCAATCCATATTTTTGCCTTTGGCCTACTAAGCAAATAAGATTTATCTCACTTATGAATTTAGACTCTGTTAAACGTATTATTAATGTCAGCAGATTTATATACAAAGCTTTCCATATGCAATAATTCTTCTTTTTTCCAAAACGAATTTCATTATCATTACCTGATTTTCACTGTTTTGTTTTCTTTTTGTCTTTTGTAAGTATTTTAAGCTAATATAAACACAATGAAATGGATCTCAAACCGATCCATATTGAGCAATTGTTTTACAAAATGTATTCAAAAAATATACAAAATATTGTCGCAGTATATTAACAAGAGAAAAATATTCTTGGTAACGTCGTTGGAACGCTGAACATTTTCAATTCGTACGACAGACAGACGACAAAAGCAAAGACAATATTATATATAATTATTGTATAAAAAGCAATAGAATAATGTAATTTTACCTAATACCCGGCTTTCTTTAGTAAGTTGAAGTATCCTAATGCAGGATTTTAACCTGCTTTAACAAATACTTTATTTCACGACTTCCTCTATGATCTAGGTTATTACATGAATAGTTTTTATTGCAATACTTCTACATATTTTACGACTTATTTATATATCAGTATAAACACCCTTGCCACTTTAAAAGCTCCTGACTGCTGACGGGTAGTAAATCTTTAATTCTTTGACCAACCAATGAGGTTCTGGACAGCTCAACAGTGAACTTTCTTTAAATGACCAGTGTCCAAGTCTATGATATGACAAGTTCAAGATTTAACATTAAGAGGTTAATGCCTGAGATAGTTTATAAAAGTATTGTTACGTCTGATTATATGGATAATAGATGTTTGTTAGTTTGTGTGTAACATGCATTGTTATTTCATTAGTGAGAATGCTGTTTTAGTAGCTCACTCGATGAAATAAAAGTACCAACTCAAACCCCTACCCCATCCCCCACACACAACAGACAACAACACATTTTTTTAAAAGTGTATGAAGTAATTATTTTATAGATCCTCTTCATATAATACCTCTCATGGTTGCCATTTTGCGTCAATGTGTTTGATTTAAAGGAACTACAAGTACTGTAACAAACAATACAAAATTGTTGGCTGCAATGTAAACATTCAAGCAGCAGCTAGAAATTTCGACAATAAATTAATCAAAGCACAGAAGGCGCTGAATTTGTTTGGGTCTCAGAATGCCAGAAAGGTGAAGGTTGTGAGATTATACACCAATTTGTTTTTGTATAGTGCCACCAATGCTTTCAAGCGTTTTAATTGTAGTAAATTGGCTATAAGACTAATTGCAACACTGATATTCAATTCAATGTTTATTTGACTTAAACAATTTGAAAAAAGAAATGAGTTGCCTTAACTGGGATTTGAACTCCAGACCTCTCGCTTCCTAAGCGAGCGCGCAAACCCCTCGGCCACGGTGAAGTTATATGTTAACGGCATGAAGAAAACCATATTATTCTAAATTAGGGTTTGTAACCCTTATTATTTCGACGCTAACTGTTGTTTAACGCAGATGTAAATAATCATGGAGCTTACTATAAGCATGTATATCTATAAAACATAAAACAATATTAAAAATCTTCGACCATTCGGGAACTATTTTGCTTAAGAATTAATGCGCCTGTCATTTGACCATCTTTACGCAGTGATCTCAGTGACCTCGCAGTGACCTGAATTTTTCGTCGTTAGTGTACATATAAAAGGAACTAACCGCTTCAAAAAAGCGGACTACTTTCGGCATTTGCAATTAACAGCATCAGGGTCTGAAATTTCGCTACCATTATTTGTTTGGTCTGACGACCCAAACAAATAAAAACTGCCTTTTCAGTCGTTGTTTTTAGGAATCAATCAATTTCAGCTTTGATTTTCTATCGACATGTCAACATCATACTGAAAACTACCGGAAAAATCAAATTTGGCAAAACGAAAAAGTAGATTCTTTAGCACATACATCATTCAAGAACAGTTGATGGCACTTGTCATCGATCCGAGTTATACTTAAAAAAATGCTCAAATTGATCGGCAGGAGGCATATAAAATGCTTTACAAATCCATTATGTTGGACACTTTCGCAAAAAATACACAATTGAAATATAATAATCTAAATAATCGTCGCAACTGCAAAATTTATTGTAAAAATTCTATTAAACCACCGCTAATAACCTGCTTTTAAAGTCTTCCCTACCTTCGTCCAGAATTAAAGTCACCTTGCTATACGCAATACGCTCGAGTGTACCAGTGGGTAAAACTCATTCAGGATGTTGTTTTTCTTTAGCGAGAAGTTTAGTCACGTGTCTAAATAAACGCATTTCTTTTTCATTTTAAATTATTTCATCACGTTTTTTTCAACATAATTATATACTTATATTCGTTCATATTTAAAAAAAACATTAAATGAGAATTCTCGCGAAACTCATTCACGATAGATTAGGCCAAAACAAAATGATCTTGTGGTTCAAGTAACATGACCGACCCTGTATTTCCGCACGCTATCTAGAACATTTTATTGCCCTATAGTGAATATATCTGACACACAGTTAAATTTTACTAAATACTAATTATAAAAAAATGTTTTTCCGACCTACCTACCCTATTATTGTTAAGCATGTTACCAGAACCTCAAGATCATTTTGTTTTGGCCTTATGACGTTAAACACGCAGGCCAATGTTCCCCATGGAATTTTTATCTTATGTATACCATATCAAAGCAAGTGAGTAACTGTCTTAAACAGGACATCAAAAATTAAATAATTTAAAAAAAATCAAATTAAAGTAATTTTTCGGGCTTTAGTGCAATTGTAAGTCTTGTGTTTAACAGACATGAGCTAGTTTAAAAATAGTTAAACACATAAGTATAAAAATGTAAAATCATTAATATAAAAGCTAACTTAATAACAGCATACTGCATGTGTTATTTCGAATACATCCATTTAAGGAAATATAAGGTAAAAGTCGGTTATCTACGTTCATTGTACAAACAATCTTTTAAATTTTATCAGGACTAAAACTAGAAAGCACGGATAAAAATCATATCAATATAATATTTCATTAGGGTTTCAAGAGGGTTAAATGGCGGTCATTGATAAAACTTAAGTGTAACCAAGCTTTACGACTCTGATAAAATTGTTTGTAACATCAATCAATGTATTAACGCTCATATAAGACTTTAGTCAAAATATTTTAACCTACGGAATTTTTAGATAATTTTTGACATGGTCAAAATCCCAAAGGTTAAAAAAATTAAAGGTCTATTATAGGGTGGAAAACGCTTTTACACAAATATACAAATTCCTTGGTAATAATACGTTAATAAACATAAAATATATCATTTAACATTATTTAGCGAAAAAACAATCAAGAAAAGGCACCGCAATTCGTCAAAACTCAATATTTACTCTTTTTGTTTTGAAAGTTTACCTTTCCCTACCTCCCCGAGGAAGACTTGCACTACTGTACCGTAAGGTGTACTTCGAAAATTTAGTGGCTTTACCGTTATGCGGTAACATGCTACTAAATTTTGAGAAATTTATTTTAGTGTTGTTTTTGTTTAAAGAAAATAATTGAAGACACAGTAAACAAACTATATTGCAATATCATACAGTATTTAGGGAAAAAACTTGAAAAATCAGTGAACAAAGTTTATAACAAAGTTTATAGCAATTAAACCAGAGACATAGATAAACATAGTATTCAAAAGTATGGATAATGTTGTTTTACAGAATGCTTCATAAATGTGACTTTGAACATACAGGTTATAGGTTACATATTACTTATAAAGAGAAATTTACATAGATGTATGTTTTATTATTGAAAATGGCCTACAACATTAGTGAAAAAAACTGAGCTTTAGATAAATATTTTCTGTTTTATAAAATTTGACGAATATACAGTATAGACTTAAAACGGCACAAAGTTTTCATCAAATAGTGTGAATATAAAAACAATTTAATGTTATAAATTTTGACCTGCGCCGCATAGACGTTACTATGGTTACAAAAAGAGAATTTTGAAGTTATGTTCAGTTATAATGAAAGATCTAAATAACAAATTTATAAGATAAAATGTTTAGCTTCACAATGGTAAAAGTTGAATTGCAATAATTGTATAATTATAAAAATTGTGAAGAAATATCGGGTAATTCTGGATCATGCCCCGTATTCAAAGGACTGAGCCCTGTTTAAGAAGAGACTCTACGAGCTCGATCAAGCTTACATGACAATAGCTTCATCTTTGTCATAAACTTGTCCCTATTTATCTTTTCTAAAATGTTCAATTTTTGGAACGATTTGAACTTTCGTTCTTTCATAGGTTTTGTGAGTTGTTCCGGCTGAAGCAACTCGACAAAGTACTTAATGTCATTCAACCGATCGTCCTTTCTTGAGCCTGTTTTAACGTCAGGTATGTCTGCATCAGTCATTTCCCCAAATAGCACATCCAACGCTTTCCCAACTCCACCGGCAAGCTTTCCATGGCGGGCTAATGTTGTAGGCGTTAATTTGGATCCAACTTGCCGTATGCTTTCTAAAAAACGTAAACAAAGTTAAGTCTACCAATTTCGGCCAATTAACATGCTATTATTTAAAAAGAACTTAAAGGGTGTTGGGGTCGTTTAAAGGGGAGATGAGTTAAACTGTAGCAATGAATTTCGGTCGTGGTCCGCGACCACAGAGGAACGCATAAATTAAAGCCCCAGAGTGCCATTAAAAAAACATGGGTCTTAACGAAACTGTCGTTTCTGTTGGGAATCGTTATTCCAGTGTCGTTAAGTAAACATTTCACTGATAAAATATCTCCGCCCTTGGGCCAATACACGCCCTCAAACAAATAACAGGACCTATATGAAATCACTTGTTTATTAAGATATAATACAATACGTATAATTCTACAGAATGATGAAGACATACCCTTGAATTCTCTGTTTAAGAACTCGTTGACAAGATCAGCCTCTAGGTTCTTATCCACCCCACCTTTCATGTTTACTGTTCTGTTGAACAGTAAGTCTTGTCTGAGTCTCTCCGGGAGAAATCCATTAATGCCTAAAAAGAAAATTATATTTTCTACATCTCTGCCTGAAACGTAATGAATATGTGGGGAAATTCACATTATTATTTGGTAATCAAACTTTTACTTGGCATGCTTTTAAGAAAAACTAACCAGCAATCAGTCTGTGAGCAAGAATCGTATACTTCGGGTGGTTTCGTGAAAAGAAATGAAGCAGAGCATTTTTCCAGTAAGATGCAATCTGTTTCCCGCGTTAGTCTCAAACCGGATCTTTCTTACAAGGTCAGACAGTCCCATACCACGTCACTGTCGCATCATGCCAGTTTTAAATCCACCTCGCAACCACTGATAATCGTTTAGGCGAAAGCTTAGGCCAGAATACGAACAGATACAATATAAGACCTGGTGGACGCTCCTCTTCTAGCCCTAACGGCAACTGCACAGGCAGGTCAGAAGGATATCTGCAGACTTGATTGATAGACGAACAATGCTGTCTGCGTGCCAAACGCAGATAGTAAATACATTAAGAAAATGAACACCGTCCTACAGCAAAAATAAATAAAGAACAATCTAGATCTAAGTCATTTACTACTTGAAAACGAGAACAATCATCTTAAAAGGTCGATTGACACTAAAAAATAACCAAGAACGCAATGATTGAAAGCTAAACTCATGTTTCTAAAAGATTTGCAAAATGAATATATATCAAACGGCATCCTGATTGATACTAATGATATGAATTGTATTCCAGACCCAACATATCCTTGCAATACAACCTCGTCAACTCCAGACTGTGAGTTGGAACTGAAATGGTTAAAGAAGCAGCTGTTTCCAGAGAAAGCATGAAGAAGGTGATAGTGTTTTGCAGGTAAGCTCATTTTTGTGTATATATTGTAATTAAAGAATAATAGCCTACTGGTCATTTATATTTCATAGATGCCATCATCACAATCTTCTTTGTTTTGCAATAGTTCGCTACACAGATAATTAATAAAATATAAAGTTCTAAGCATTATTAACCATCTTTATATCTTCATATACATCGGGCATTTGATAACTCTATATAACTTGACAGTTTCAAATACAAGAACATAATTTCAAACCATTACCTTGTAAATGACAATGATAATAATCCGAAAGTCTTTTAATTATCCTGAATTGTACTTGTAATCTTACCAACGTCAGTTCAAAATCAGTTAATTTTATAGCTATGCCCCTCTGCAATGCATCACATTATCATTATTATCATCATCATATCCTCCATCCCACTCATTCTTCATTTATATGCATAAATTAATATTTTTTGTAGATCATAACCAAGCTGTATACGACATTTGGTCATGGCATCACCGATAATCTCGACACAGTGATTATGAATTAGGATTGTACAGAAATGTACCATTCAAGTACAGATGAAAGAAAAAAGAAGAGATTCTGAATGAATTTAAGAAGAGTGACAGTCAGAATCAGAATACTTGTATTGTACTGTCGCCTTTGCATGGGTGTAGGCATCAATGATGTCGAGATTATCATACATTGGGAGCACCAAAAAATACGCTGATGTACTGGCAGGAAGTTGGTCGGGCTGGGCGTGATGGAAAGACCGTCATTGGCAATCATGTATCCATTCCCTAGATCTTTAATGAAGACTATAACTTCCGAAAAAATGAAAAGTGTTGTCAGATCTGAAAGTTGTGTGCGCACAAAGTGTGTTAGACACGTTTGAGAACGGCAGCAATGACAGAATCTCTTACTACAAGAGTTGTTTGTCCTGATTTAACATGTGAAATTTGCATATGCTTATCATGCTTGTGCTGCTCTAATTGTAAAAAAACTCTGTAGTTGTATTGGTAACTCAGGATATTGTCAAAGACTTTTTGAAAAGAAAATTAAAGATACATCTTTGCTGACATGAATGTCTTATATGTTAATGTCACAAATAAAAAGGTTGGGTCTAACGATAGTTCTTATTCGTTTTGTTTCTTTAGTGTAAATCTACAGCTGTCTAAATAATCAATGACTTATGTTTTTCAAATATGTTAGTAATTTTGGAAAGTGTACTGCTAAACAATGACAACAAAGTTGTGTTTTAGTGAAAACAACTCTTTTTTCGGTTAAAATACTTATACAATCAATTTTTAAAGTTTTAAACAGGTAAATTTAATAATTTATTATTTATACGTAATAATTAAATCCCGTAATATGGCCAAAATGTAGATAAAATATTGATCCGTACTAATGAAAAGAAAATGGAAAAAAAAGAAAATCTCTTCTATTTATAAATACATTCGTCGGCTTAAAATCAATATTAGAAAAAAAGACACGAAATCATAGGCCTACAAACTATGAAGAGCAGAAAAAATAAGGGTTTCACGTAAAATAAATATAACCCAACTGACTGAACTACAACTGCAATATTGAATATTTATCGTAATTTTGATAACTACATTTATTTTGGGAAAAAAACACAGGAAATTTTAAATAAATATTGCATACATCTGCATTTTTGTTATTTACCCTGAGGCCCTCTTATCAGCAGGAGACCAGTGTAATGAAAACAGTCGCTCTCAGAAAAATACCAAAATACACAGCATGTATTGAAACTTCCCTCTTGTATAATTATAAAAGCATTCCCTTTATACATAAAGTTATCAAATATAGAAATCTTGAATAACGTTATCAAATTTTATTTATTTCATGGAAAATTTAATTATTTATATCTTTATGCAAGCATTCAATGTTTGAAAAATATGATATCACAGTGTATGGACTTGTTTTAAATCAATAAATTAATTATTTTCTTTCATCCTTGAACATTAGGAATTTCTAAATAATTATTTATGATTAGCAGAATGGCAAGAAATGTGATAAATATAGAAAAATTCTGATTTAGCGAAGAAATAATATCTAATATGCATTTCATTATGATTTTTTTTTTTTGTAAATTTGATTATAAAAAGAATTATGGTCATTTATCTATATGACTAACTAGCCTGAGTGCCAACCGCCTGATGAATCCCAGGCATAATGTCTTACATGCATTTTGAGAAAACCAGGGAATTTCAATGCATACTTATAATCTGCAAAAATTGACTGTTCTTTGTTATTTACCCCTGAGGCCTCTTATCAGCAGGAGAAGTGGTATAACAAACAGTCCCTCTCAGAAAATACCAATACACAGCATGATTTGAGATTTTCATCTTCAATAAAAGTATTCCCTTTATACATTAAATTTTTAATATTGAAATCATGAATAAAGTTATAAAATTTATTTATTTTATGTATAATATTTTAATTATTTATATCTTTAAAACATATGCAAGCATTACACAGTTGAATACTAAATTTTCACAGTATATTGATTGTTTTGAAATCAATGTATTAATATTTTGTCCATATCCCATTAATATTCTCTTTCAATATCGAACATTAGGAATAGTCTCTAAGTTATATATTATAGAAATAATGTTTTAGCTTAAATATAAACCTTTCCTTGATTTGTTTGAGCTTATGAAAAAAAGTTTATATTGTTACAAACTAAATTAATTGGGCCAGAATTATCACATTGATTTTCCCATTTGTACACTTGAAAAATTGAAATACATGGCCATTAAAAAATAGCTTTAAAAACACTTATTATTAAAATTATTAATTACGGAGCATATTTAAATTTAACCTTATTAATTCTATAAATTTGATTTTAAGGGGTATTATTTTACACATACACTTAAATACTGGTTAAGAAAAATATGATTACAATAAATAAAAAAAAAAAATTTAAGATCTAGCATGATATCACATAAAATGTTAAAACTGCTGATTTTAAAATTTACTTATTTATATTCATGAATAGGCCATATATTCCCAAAGTTTTTTTCTTACAGCAGCTTAACAATGAATGCCCCTTGTCACTTGATATGCAATTATCCAATAAACCATTTAGGTGTCACCTTCACTGGCCAGCCTGGTCATATGGTCTAGTGCACTAGAAGTAGAAGTGCACACGGTGTGCACTACTAGTTCAGCTCTAGTGCACTAGAAGTGCACAAGGGTGGGAAGTTTAGTGTGAACTCAACTGTATGTCAATTAAGGGCAACTATAAAATTATCGTCGTAATAAAGTTTCCTTTTAAAAGGAAAGGCTTGCACAGTTGTGCCTTCATCCCAACATATTTATTTGTTTTTATTTTTGTAAAAACGAATATATTTTGTCAAAACGATTTGAAATCTATTCTCTATTGTATAAAACTAATAAAGAAAATAACCAATCGTAAAAATACTAACGTGAAGATCTATCATACTGAAAGGAAACAAGTGTGCACATTTCATTTAATTAATAAGCATGTTCCCAGATACGATGCGCTATCTATAAATCATCACGTGGTAAGGTTAATGATATGCATGGGCTATTTTTAGATTACCTCACCAAGTTCAGTAGATCTAAATATAACTCGATCATGCACTGTGTGATTTGGACCACCCTTTGAAGACGGAATACTACTACAGTCAACATCCTCTATTGTGTAAAACTAATACAGACAAAAAACAATTATAAAAGAAACTAACTTTTGCGTCTTGAAAAAGAATTGAAACGGAACAATTTCGTTTATAATTTATTACGGTTTAAATCAATAAATCAAGTAAAATACGAATCCTATTTATATAAACAAACTGGGATTACCGAAGTAACTAAAATAGCTTAGATTTCCGTAATATTACTTCGTCTGATTCCGCAGTATGACAGAATCGCCCGAATTGTCACGATTGCAATCGGAAGTACATCGGCTATTATCATTAATCCGAAGAGTGACGGAAAAGGCCGAAAAGTTGCGATTGGCACGATTTCAGCTGGTTTCCCGTTCAATCATGCACTTATAAATGTAAGCAGAAAACCACCTAACCGGAACAGGTTTTCCAAATGAAATGGCTTGCAGCCGTGGCTGCAAGCCAAAAACCCGCGTACATGATTCCGCATTGTGCACTTTACTGCTATGACGTCACGCATTCAATGGCGAATAGGGAAATTGTATCGATGTGTTACAGGGTGTAGTTTAAATAGGATTATTGTCTTATGAACCTATGTCATATAATAAAGTGTGTAGAATTTACTTCTTAAGGAATATATCTTCAAAGGTAACTAATTCTTTCATTCCAATTTTGTTGTTTTATTGGTTTTTTAAGAATTTTTCTTCCGACTCAATTTTGAGTCGGAACGTCCACCACTAAATTGGTCTTTATTGTGTTCAACGCGCAGGGCGTAGCTCTGATCGCGTTGATATTTCGACTAATAAGACTTATATGAAGTAAAAGATGCACGATAACGATATATGTGTTGCGAATTCCTTGAAAATTTGACATTTAACGCCGGGCATACGGTACATGATAACGTGTTAACATAAAGCATATTAATAGAGAATAACATGCTACTGTCTTTTGATATCAATTTTATCAGGCTCGGCTGATATGGGCAGAAAGGGCTCGGCTTATCAGGCGAGCTGATATGGGCTAGAAAGGGCGAGGCTTGCCGAGCCCTTTCTGCCTATATCAGCCGAGCCTGATAAAATTGATATCAAAAGACAGTAGCATGTTTTTCTATTTATCATGTGACACATAATAACTGTCAAAATAACAAAATAATATACTTTAAAATAGCGAATTTCGTTAAAAAGGGGGATTTTTGTTCAAAGAAATAATTCTTGAAAACAAATTCCTCCGCCCCTGAAACTTAGAATTTGTAATTGGCGGCCATTTTTTCTTTCGACTCGGATAAAAGATACAACAAAATGTAGGCCTAATACGATAACATTCTTACCTTTAATTTAAACATCGATCCAAAAATCCGCTTAGAATCACATAAACTAAACTTTACTGCAATTTTTGTCTTGAATTGTGAAATTCAAATGTTCACGATATTTCAATCAAAGAAAAGTCAAATCTGCAATCAAACACAAGCTACACAAACATGTGTCTTATTTTTTAAATTAAACAATTTGTTCACTTATTAAATAATAATCCGGCGAATAAAGTAAACATTTACAAGTTCTCAAAGAAAATCGTCTAGCCTGTTTGTTATGATTACATTCGTTTCGTTCAAAGCCTTGATAATGGCCGTGTTGTCACTCCGGTATGTACAGCTAAACTCTGGTATTTCCGATTTACGGTAAAAACTCTCAAGTAGGGTTACAATAATTTAATAATGATTATGAAATAGAATCTATACTGAAAGGGGGGAAAAATAATAAAAATCTTTTGGATGAAAAAAAAAAAAAAAAAAAAAAAAAATTAAAATCTTTTGGATGATTTGACAAATTCATTTGCAATATTTGACAACTCTTGTCTATGGTCTTTGAATTGGTCTTCTTGTATGTCTGACAGCAATAGTTCTTTTGTAAATACACTTATTCCTGTCTTTAGGAATATTTCTTTCTTCAGGTTTTCTCTTGATGTCTCGTACAGGGTACAGTCCTCTATAAAATGTGTTACTGTCTCCACTTCTCCACAATTACATAGACTTGTGTTTTTCGCCCCAATCTTGTTCAAATAATCATTGAGGCAATATCCACTTTGTAGTTGAAGTAACTGTCTTTGGTTGCTCAAGCCATGGAAGTTAATTTTTTTGGGTTGGACTTGAGGCTTGAGTCCATAGAGATGCCTGCCAGTTTCAACAATTTCCCATCTTCTCTGCCATTTAATGCGGACTGATTCTCTAGCTGAGTGGCGAATGTCACTTTGACTTGTTACAAAGAGTGAATCTTCTGTTTCCATTTCCTCAGCTTCTTTTGCTGCTTCTTTTGCAAGTCTGTCAGCAAGGTCATTTCCTTTTATGCCAGCATGACCAGGAGTCCAATCAAAATTAACAGTAACATCTGCTAATTCAAGCTCTTTCCTCAACTGGAGTATCTCTGTTGACAGGACTTTGTGTGTCTTATTTTCCCAGCCAAGATCAATAATTCCAACAGCGGACTGACTATCACTAAGTAGTTTTACCTTATTTATTTCAAATCTTCCAATCTCAGTAAGTAGGGCTTGAAGTGTTATTTTAAATTTAATGGCAACCAGTTCTCCTACTAAAATTGATGATAATTTTGATACTGGTTGTTTCAGTTCTATAACTTCTGTGTTTGGAAGAAGAATGCAGGCTCCAGCACCACATGGACCTGGATTTCCTCTACAGGAACCATCAGTAAATGCTACAGCTGTTTTGGTATCTACATCAGATAGAAGTGATGAGATGTGTTGTCTTGCATCGTCTTCTTGTTTAACAGTTCTTGATTTGGAGGATCCTAGATTGTTCCAATAATCTGGTCTGGTTCTAGATGGTTGCAGGTATTCAAGGTATGAAAACTCTGGTTCAATACTGTTCAGTGTGATGGTGGTTAATGATTTCATGTCCTCTACCTGTGTGAGCATGCAAAAGAATGGAGATTGGAATTTTTCTCTGACTTTTCCATACCTATCTTGACAGCTTTTTAAACTTTTTGCAATGTTTTGCCTGATATCTTTTGCCATTATTTTCCCACATTCTCGAATACTCAGTTCTTCTCGCCTCAAATCAAGTGGAAGAACTCCAGCCAATACATGTATAGTATTACGTGAACATCGATGATGTCATTTGCAATATAAATTATGACGTCACTTCATTTAGTTATTCGCTATCTAATTTATTCGTAATTGAAATCGAAATAATAAATAAATAAATTTCGCATATTGATTCAAGACTTGTAAGGGTATGAGATCACATTGTAGAATTCACATGCTGATGAAAATGAGAATATAAGCAATTGAAAAAAGTCCGTTAAAATGGGCGGAGCTAATTTTTGATATCAGGTTACTGACGTGATATCAAAAATAATTATCAGGCAAGTGTTATCGGGCAGTTACCATAGCAGTTGCATGATAAATGACGTCTTTGATCACTACTCTGTTGTTAGGTTGATAAAATGACGAGTTTTGACGTGTGCAGCATACTCACACCCCAGACCTGTATCAATGCTTCAATATTTAATGTATGCATACTTTCTAAAAAATAATGTTTCTTATTATACTTCAAATTGATGGAGATACACAACTGCAAAATTAGTTAAGGCTCAGGCGTAATATTTTTTTTTACAGACATTGTTCTCGACTTTATCTGACAGCCCTCGTATGTATTACAAATGAAAAAATGTTCAAAGAGACACCGGCTGAAAAAATAGATATTTTGTATACATCACTATAAAATGTATGCAGTAATTCTATATTTTTCACCATTATGGTTTATACTTTCAAAAAATATTTTGAAGAATTATTTATTTAATATATATATATATATATATTTAAAGATATGTCATATGGGTTATTTAATTGTGGTTTGATAGAAAATATAACTTATTTAGAACACTTCACTTTATGTCCACGGTCAAATTTGATATCTTTGTATACCTTAATATAAACAACTTAAGACTGAAACGCAAGCTAAAAAAGATTTATGCATCAGCAGTTAAACAGCAGCAATAACGTTGTAATATTTATTATGGTACAAATATAGAATTTTAGAATTATAGAATTTACTTTTTCAACCAAGACTATAACACGAGATAGTAGCAATTTAAATTCTTTACAGTCAACGAAATGGTCTGCAGATAAAAGAGATAATATAAGCAGAGGATTAATTGCCAGATTGTCTGAATTAAACAATTTAATAAGCTATTCAGAGGAGGAAATATTTGATAACATCAAAGTAAATGAAACGGTCGACAGATTCGGACAAGAGGCTAAGCCATTGTTCCACAAGGAATTAACCATGCGGAAACAAAATATGAGCCGTGTCACGACAAAACCAACATAATGGGTTTGCGACCAGCATGGATCCAGACCAGCCTGCGCATCCGCGCAGTCTGATCAGGATCCATGCTGTTCGCTTACAAACCCTGTAACAAGTAGAGAAACTGATAGCGAACATCATGGATCCTGATCAGACTGCGCGGATGCGCAGGCTGGTCTGGATCCATACTGGTCGCAAACCCACTATGTTGGTTTTGTCGTGACACGGCTCATATACAATTTGATACTAAAAAAATGATGAAAAAATCAGATTGGTTTGATGAAGTGAAGACAAATGAAAATAGACACCAGTTAATGTTAAAAAGAGACAGTATAAATCTTTGCGCAATATGAGTAAACTAATAAAGATGAGAGAAATTGAAGTACAGTAAAAGCTGAAAATACTTTTCAAAGAAAAAAAACACAACTAAACGAAAATATATCACTGCAAGAATTCTATGACTATTTTAGGAACTTATCAGATAGCATTAACACTATACTACTGATCCTGGCGCGATAACCAGTATTGTTATGATGACCCTATTTTCGCGGAATTAGATCCTGTAATTACAACTGATGAAGGGCGCCATGCAGTAAGTTGTTTGAAACGAGGCAAGGCAGGGAGACTTCATAATGAATATTTTATTGAAATATGTGACATCATAATTATAGTAAAATAGTGTGTTTTTATTTTTGGCGAAAATGGTTCAAGAATATAATGTTTTCAAACTATATGTTCATCACTTTCAGTGAATTCTTAATCAAATGTATGCAAAATATTTACTAACAGCTATATGATAAAGTGGTTTTGTGTGCATTTTCCGCGTACAGCCTCCTAGGGTGTACTAATATGTTAGACACAGGCATGATGTATGTCCTGATGTAAGCGACAGTTTATCAATATTTGTATTTTTAAAAAATAATATTTTAAGGACTAATAATGGTTTATAACAACATTCATGATAGTGACACTACGGTATTCTCTTACAATAATCAAAACGGCAGCGTTCTAGTTATAACCCGTCTTTCACAGTTTGTCGCTGCGTAGTAATTTGGAAAATTGTTTTCAAAAATAAAAACAATATTTTGCCGAAATAATTTAAACATTTAATCAGTACTTTACAATAATGCGTTTTGTTTTTGATTTTACCGATATAGTTGTTAAAAGTATAAGGGTTTAAATATCAGAACTATTTATTGCATGACCGATTTACCTCCGCAGTAAACGTGAGTAGTAATTTTAAAATTTAGAAAACGTTTAAACAAAGCGTTTCTCTGAGAATTATAAACTTTACAAATAGCAAGTATGATGGTTATGAACAAAAACTTGTTTTAACTTGTCAATAACGGTGATAAGTGATGAGTCTTATATCTAACTTCAACATTTTTGTACCTTTATCTTGAAAATTACATTTACTGGAGAGGAATTGATATAAGTATTGTTTTACTTGTTTTCCAATCAGGTCTGAATTACATTGTTGTGCAATGTTTGTAAATGTCATTTATGTACAAATTATTGAATAAATAAAGTTTAAATTAAGTGATGAGTCAGCTTAAAAATTTCATACTATTTTTTGACCTGATTACCGCGGCAGTAAGATTTGATGAACGGTCTTAACATTATGCTAGTATTGTCGATAGTTATAGAGGAATAACACTAGTTAGTTCTATGTCGAAAATATTCACATCAATATTAAATAAGAGAATGTCAGACGGGAGTGATAAGCATAACATAATATCAGATTCGCATTTCGGATTTAAGAAATAATGGATATTTTGCCTACACAGTATAGTTAATCACAAGTTGAACAAGAGCACCGCTAGGCGGAGCATGGAGCATTATATGCCCGAAAGTGTGTTTTTTAGTAAGGATTAAGCATTTGTAAGACATGATAATTAAATAAAGTATTATATATACCTCCTTCAAATGACAATCGTCCTATGAAGTTTGAATATTGTGGGTCAAATGGAACTTAACTTATGCTCTGGAAACTGTTTTCAGTTCTAAGGTAATAGTGACCTTGAACTTTGACCTTGTGATCCCAAAATCAATAGGGGAGTTCTACCCAATATGGACAATCACCCTATGATTGTTTATTGTTTATTTTGGGTTTTACGTCACATCGACACAGTATAGGTCATATCGCGACGTTCCAGCTTTACTGGTGGAGGAAGACATCAGGTGCCCTTTCGTGCATTATTTCAGGCACGAATTGGCACCTGAGTAGAACCACCGACGTTCCGTAAGCTAGCTGGATAGCTTCCCCACATGAAAGAATCCAAAGTCCCTGTCGGGATTCGAACCCACAGCGGTGAGGGGCAAGTGGTTTGAAGTCAACGACCTTAACCACTCGGCCACGGACGCCCCTCACCCTATGAAGTTTGAACACTGTGGGCCAAACAATCATCCTATGAAGTTTGAATACTGTGGCCCTAATGGAACTTTAGTTATGCTCCGGAATTTGTTTTCAGTTTTAAAGTAATAATGATCTTGACCTTTGACCTTATGATCCAAAAATCAATAGGGGTCTTCTACACAATATGGACAATCATCCTATGAAGTTTGAGCACTGTGGGCAAAATGGGACTTAAGTCATGCTCCAGAAGCTGTTTTCAGTTTTAAAGTAATAATGACCTTGACCTTTGACTTTGTGACCCCAAAATCAAAAGGGATCTTCTACCCAATATGGATAATTATCATATGAAATTTGAACACTGTGGGCCAAATGGAACTTAAGTTATGCTCCGGAAACTGTTTTCAGTTTTAAGGTCATAATGACCTTGACCTTTGACCTTGTGACCCCAAAATCAATAGGGGTCTTCTACCCAATATGGATATCATCCTATGAAGTTTGAATATTGTGGGTCAAATGGAACTTAAGTTATGCTCGGGAAACCGAATTGCTAACGGACGGACGGACAGACGGACGTCCTTACATTTGTATTCTTGTTGGGTATTTTACTGTGTAAAAAAGTACCGAACAATACATCAAAATTCAATAAAAATACCCAACAATAAATGCGGAGTGAGTAGGATTTGTAGTTGTTGGGTATTTAGTACCCAACATATACCCTCTCGTGCGCTCGGACAGACGGACGGACGCCAGCGGGTATAACATAATATGCCCGAAATTCTTTCGGGCATATAATAATGGTAAACGCATCTACACTACCTTTATATATAGATATGCAAAAATGTTTTGATAATGTAAACCGGAACTTATTGTGGTTCAAAATGTCAAAACTGGGAATAAACGGTAAATTGCTCAGGGTCATAAGGTCAATTTATGAGCAAGTGAAATGTAGAGTACGTCATGGAAATGAATTCTCGGACTTCCTGGAAATAGCAGTGCGCCTAAAACAGGGAGAGATATGTTCACCGTTATTGTGGTCTTTGTTCGTTGAAGATCTAGAGTTGTACATTGGTTCGAGACCAGAAAGTGGCTTGAAATTTGATGATTTGACTCTGGTGTGTTTTTATACGCATTTTCGGACACTGTAGAAGGAATACAACAACGTTTAGATGACTTGCTCACATACTGTTGGAGATGACGATTAATCGTTAACATTGACAGAACCAAAGTTATGTTTTTTGCATGAAAATAAAAATTGGACTTTCAATGACACAAATTTAGCTTTTGTAAAATATTTCAACTATTCAGGTGTGGTGTTTGACTCAAATGGCAATTTTAACTATAATACACAGA